CTGGTACCTGGTAATGTTTCCTCCTCATGACTGGAAAAAATTTCCCCATCACTGTGCATTTCTTCTGCCTCCTGCTAGGGACCACCACAAATATTTAAAAATGATGGCTTTTAAGTGAGGAAGGCACAAGTCACGCATTAGATTTGCTTGTACCGCTCGCAGACTTGTTAACTTGCTGGCTCCTGCAAACCCTCCAAAGCCTGGGAGCCGCTGCCTCCAGCATCCTGCGCCATAGCAGCACGGGAGGCAGGCGATGGGAGCCCGGGTTGGGCTCGGGGCATCAAATGCACGGTGCTGCTCCGGGGGCTGCTGCGCATGCCAGGTCGGAAGGAACCACCAAAGGCACTTTGGGCCATCCGGAGCTGCCAAAGGATGGTGTTCCTGAGCTGGCAGGAGATGCTCGCCTTGCAGTTCGCTCACTCCTCACAGTGAGAGAGCTGGCCAGCTGCAACACAGAAACTGCATTTCAAACTGCTTCCTCAAAACCAAGGAAGAAAGGGATGAGGTTTTTTTGGCCTGCAGTGAAACGAAGGGGAAGTGGGGAAGCCACGCTTATGATTTGGGTAGAAATTTTACTACCCACTCCAACAGGAAGGGTGTTTTCTGACAGGCTCTTCGGGACACCTGTTTTTCGCTGCAGCACACCTCCCAGCAGTGCCGGCTCTTTCGCTCGCTGGTGTGTTTTGACAAGGAGCTGTGTTTCTTCTGACATTATAAACTCAGAAGACGCCAAGGTAATCTTCTCGTCCGACCTCCTGCCTCACGCAGGCCACAGAAGAGCCTGAGCTCATTTATATCTGAATTTATTCTACATGAAAATTAGTCTGGAATAACCACCACAAAATTTATCTTTAACAGCCCCCAGAAATCAAAAACCCTCAGAAAGACAATGTTCTGCTGTCTGGGTGTAGCAGTAATTATTTGATTGTATGGGCCATTTCAGACCCTTTCGTATGCTGCTGTTACGAGTTGTCCTACCTGTGCTTGTTTCTGGGTGAGTTTTAAGTATATTAATTGCTGCCACATGCTGCCTCCGTAAGGAATATGTGAGCCATTTATTTGGCAGATCATGTGAAGCCAGTTGGTGGGCCTCAGCCCGAGCTGACATGTCAAGATGTCAACATCACAGGGCACTTCCGAGCATCTGTCCCACAGCCTAAATGGCTGAGGACCCCCCATGTTAAAGAAGACCCTCATTACAGAGGACATCTGGACAGATGCCTCTGGTCTCTGGCCTTGTCAGGGTGATACCTTTCCCTGGCAATGAGCTGGAGCTATTTTTAGGATTCAGTGGGGAAACAAACCTTCCAGTGGTCTCATTGCTTAATTGCTCTCTATTGCCTTAAAGTACAATGGCTAACAGCTAAAATGGACTTTGGGGTGTTGCCTACAGAGCTCTGTAATGGTTTCCTGCTTTTTCTTTCTATTTGCAAGCTATTTTAAGTTGTTCTACCTTTCCTGAACTGCCCAAGAGGAGCTGTGTTGTGCACTTTCATCAGCTGATTCTGGGAAATGTCAGTTTTGCTGTTCTTCTGTTAGTAATACATTTCTTGAACGATTTAAAAATAGCACCGTATGAAACCTTTCCATCTTCTCTCTTCTGGAGGAGAACTGAGGGGGAGTTAACTCTTTTCTGCTTCACTGGAGCAAGAAGTCGCACAGCGTTCAGGTGCTCTGGGGCTGGAACCAGCTACCGGAGCCAGCAGAGGCAACGTGCCGGGGGCAGCCGGGGCTAGAGGAGGCTCCCGCCGCTGTCGGAGCCCCCGGCAGTCCCAGCACGTGTGGCAGCAATGTCAGTGCCAGGACTGAGCACCCCAGCCCTCAGCCACCTCTCTGGTGCTTTTACAGCTTGCTCAGAGGGCTTCCCAGCCAGCGCCCCTATGGCCCGCTGGCGCTGGGCATGGGAGAGCTCCTCTCTGTGACCTGCTCCAACATACGCTAACCCTAGAGTCTAAACCTAAGCTGGGAACTACATCTCCCAGACATCCACATCAGTCCTGTAGTACCATCCCATTTTTAACCACTGTTGGAGCACCTCATCACTGGCTGTTTGGTCTGTGCCTTGTGTTCTTGGGTGCCTCCTTCCTCAGCCGTTCAGTTTCTTGTTAACCTCCCCTCCCGTTATATTTTGATCTCCCATCATCTTTTTCCTAACTTTTTTGGTCCTCCTCCCTGGCTTGTTCCTTTTTGCTTCTCCATCTCTGACATTTCCACCAAGGACACCCTCTCCCATGCTCCCCATCTGAAGGCAGCTTGAAAGACAGTTATCTACAGTGCTGTCCCAGGCAGATGCTTGGCAGCAGCCTGCTGCAATAAACCCATATCTACATATGTTAGAGGCAGAGAGAGAAGAACGATCCTTTTATTACCCAAGCAGCAGAAGCATATCTTCATCAGACACAGCTTCCCCTGTCCGTTTGCACTTGCCATGCACTTTTCCTTGGTCTGTGGGGCCTTTGGGACTACTCTGGTAACCACAAGGTTGGGAAATACTATTTCAACCACAAAAGCATATTCCTCTTTCAGATGACAATTAACTTTTCCCTGGTGCCTGTGGACTGCCTATAAATATTTAAACAACAAGTGGGCTTGGCCTGCCTGTGTAAGCACCTCCAACATGCCTGTGCGTTCGCTCAGGTCTTTTCCACGGTGGCTTTACCCAGATACTTTTCTTCTCCAGACCTTCCCTGCTGAGCACAACCCCCTCCAAATTTGCCTCCCGCTCGGTGGGACCCAGGTTTTCTCAGTGCAAGCAGTCAGTGCAGCCACACAGATGCAGGTAGCCCACATCATCTGGAGTTGGAGGAACAGTGGAGGTCAGTAAGAGTTTACTGGCACATCTTGGTGGCGAAAGGGCGAAGAGGAGAAACGGTGATGCAGTTAATTGCAGATGCAGCTAATTACTGATGGCTTGTCCTGGTTCTGGCTGAGCTTTAGTGCTGCCTTTGCTCTGTGCCACAGGAAGGGTTACACAGGAGAGTGTTTGCTTTGGAGCCCAACCTCATTGAAAATAATACAAATATCCCCACCAGCCTCATGAGTCTGGGGCTATGGGGCATCTCTTTTCAGAAAGGTATCTAGAGGCACACTGGGGCTTCACACTGCTCCCAGAACAGTGCTATCTCATTTTGTCTTCTTTCTTTTTTCATGGGCAAGTATTACTTGTGGTAGGCCACCCTCACTTTCTCTGCCTGCCCATAACTGCTTTAAAGCACTGATTAGATGGTTATAAATCACAAGGGAACTATGGTATTTTGAATCACTCTGAACTTTGGCTTTATAGCTGAGGTCTTGAATGCACTCTCCAGCAAATCCACTCAATATTGGTTTCTGTTTATTCAGCAGTGATGTCATATCAAACTTTCTGGAGCACTCTGATGGAGACTTAAGTTTATTAAAAGAAGTCTGGATAGCAGAGCCAAGTTTAGCTGCAGCCAAGTTATTCAGTAAGACAGCCAGTTGTGTAGCAAATCAGAAGGATAGCTCTCGCCTATGTGCTGATGTCTGGCTTAATAACCTGCATCTGCTCTGTCTGCAAATGCTGCCATGTGCAAGGGTCCATCTTGAACAGGAATTATCTGCACCCACAGTGACCCAGGGTTTCAACCTTAGCTCATGCTAAGAAGATATGTGCTTTATTTGTCTCCACTTGAAAATAACGCTGGCCAAGATGTATTTTCCACCAAATAAAGTCCCTACAGATATGAGGAGAAACAGTAGTAAATTTTGCAAGAAAATATTTTCCAGTGTAAAAATACTGTGTTGCTAATATCTCTCAGAAAGAACTTATTTACCATGAATTTTCAAACAACATGAAGGAAGGTTTCAAAGTTGCTCAGCAAGCAGCATTGCATCAGTACCGCGCATGGATTTTTCCACAAGTTTCCTTGCTCCTCACAAACCCACCAATATTTGCCACACTTCCCCAGCCGCTCCCTGAGAGAGATGCAATAGCTGGGAACGCAGGGCTTTTACACTCCCTGATAAAGTATTTCCTGGGAGATACGGACTCGGGAAGCCCTTGACAACTGCTGACTAAAACCAGCATGGTCCTTGTCATCCCCACCACTCTTTACAGCTGAGTATCTGCACTCAAACCTCTCCAATAAAACGGCAAAGATCGCATCACTTCAAAGCAGCAGCTACCCCAAGTCTCTGAAGCATGCTTCAACAATGGGGGAAAGAAAAAAAAAAACCCTAGCTATGTCTGCAGTACAAATTTCCCGTGTTTTCTGTTCCCTGGGCAAGTCTGGAAAAGAACATTTTCATTTAAGCATTGGAACAAAACCAAGAATGAGGGCTTCATACAAACAGTAAGCCCCAAGTTTTGAGCAGCCCTGCCACGCTTGATGCCTCCGCACAGCCAGGCTGGGGGGGTTCTTCTCAATCCAGCTGAAACACTAGCACTTCTTGAGGGGTGTGGGAAGTACATGAAAAGGGGTAAAAGTGAAGTATTTTTCATGGCTTTTTGTAAGGCACCTAAAGCAAAGTTATCAGGACTAGCTGCAGCCACGGCTTTCTACGAGCACAGTTTTGTTTCCCCAGTAGCAGCAAGCTGTGCTGCTCTAGCAAGTTGAAGTATGTTTTAAAGTGCTTCATACCTCTTCAAAATCCCCTGAGAATGCCATGTGCTGGTGGCTGTTCTGAGTGGCTGGGAGGGGACCCGTGGCTGCTGGGGGCCCTTCTGTCCACAGTTTGCTGCACAGCCTTAGCCAAAGCACTTAGATGCTGCCTGCCAGGCTCTCAGGCAGTATATTAGCAATAGCACAAGCTGCCTCATGCAGGGAAGTCCAGCAAAATTCAATGTTTATAAAGTACAAGCAGAACATTCCAGGGCAGCATAAAATGTTACTTTTTTTTTGCTTTATTGACACTCACAGGAATAGTTAATGCTCGGTTTGGATAGAGCTGATGACTCTGCTGTTGTTCATCGTTTATCATCTCTGGATTACTATGGTTGCAAATCATTTGGCTGATTTCTCTTTTTTTCCATTTCACAGATGGCAGTGTCCATGAAGCATGACACCCTTGCAGGCATCTGACTTACTGCGAGGCAGGAAGCTTGAGGACCTTGGGGGATAATATGACCCTCAATATTAATTGACCTCTAATGTTCATGGACTGATGTGCTGTGATTTACATGGTCCTCCCAAGTACAAACTCTGGGTCTCTGCTTGAAGACTGTGCTGCATCCGAGAGGAGCCTGTGCTGGTGATGGGCCAGCACACATAAGAGTGTAATTTTATTGCTGTGCTTCTTAATGTTCATACTTCAGTTCTAGTTCAACCTCTTCCAGGGTGCGGCTCTAATGCACTTAAACTGTAGCTGGACTAAGGCAGCATGGAAGAAGCCCACCACCGTAACTTTACGTGAAAGGAAACGTGCAGAAGCTGCACTTCTCCAGCTGATGTCCTGTTTTTTCCGGGGTGGACAGCTAGCAGAGCTGAGCAGCTTCTGCAGCTGCAAACAGAGGGTGTTTCCAGCCCCAAGACACACTGAATCAGTCAACGAGCTGTTCTCCTCTGCCTTATTAGCAGCTAAAAACTAAGACAACATAATGTCTTCCCCAAACATCTGCCTCCTTTGCCTTCCTCTCAGCATAGCAACAGCCCCCACCACAGACTAGCCCTCATTATGGGAGCCTGGGGGGAAGCATAGGTCAAATTCTTCTCGCATAACGAGCTGCAGCCTGTGATCTTTAATAGGATTATACAGGGGGAAAAGGGCAGGACTCAGCCTTGTGATTGCAGAGCAACTTATGATTCATGGAGATCAGTGTACTATCTGGGGACATCCTGGACACTGCTGCCTCCTCCTCCTCCCATTAAAATCCCTTTGTGTAGAGACACAGGGTTTGTTCAGCTGTCCCTGACCTCAGTCCCTGACCCTATGCAGCCAGCACTGTCCCAGGGCCGAGGGCTGGGCTGAGTCCAGAGCAGGATGGAGCGACCTGGTGAGCAACGGAACTGACCACGCATGCTCTCCTGGGGGGGCTGACTGGCTTTTGAACCAAATCATAGTACAATTCGGTCTGATCTCCTCCTATCCCTATGAAATACAGCTCCTTTTTGCCTTACAGCTCTCCCCTCAAAGAGTACTTTGGTGGCAACATGCAGGCTGGCTTGTGTTGCAGCACTGGTGGCTCTCGGAGGCAAACCTGGGAATGATGCCTATTTTTGAGGTCCCTTTAATCAGATTTGGTGGAAACTGGCTAACAGGCTCAAACATACAGGTGACAAAATGGGTAGCCCACAAGATCACATGAAAACTCCTAGCATAGGAAACTGGACTAAAGCATAGCTAGAACTAGGAGGAGTGCAATGCGTTAGGAGGTGGGGCAGATTTACAGGGTAGAGCCACAGCACATGCCGAGGCACTTGCCCCTCTCCTGAGAGCATCCGTCTGGACCACCCTCACAGCCAAATAGCCCATTCCCATCCTCAGTTGAAAGCTCTTTCCTCCGCATATGATGGGCCTGTGCTAAAGGGTAAAGACCTAGGCAACACTGAATCATGAATTTGCCACCTCCCACCACCACTAATGCACCGTACACCACTTCGGAACACAGGTTCAGGGTTTCTAGAAATAGAGTGAAATAAAATATCATGTCATCTGCCTGAAGATTTAGCAGCCCACGTGTTCTCCCACACACGCTGCTGTGAAGGTACCATGCCGGTGCTTTGGGTAGTCCTCGGGCTGGTCCCGCGGTAACAGATTAGGTTCAAGCTCCGACTCCTGAGCAGAAGCATGCTTCAGAGACAAGCGCTCACATCAGCAGCATTTACAAGGGGCAGTGGTCTCCTCTGCACCGGGGTGAAGCGTGCATGAGCTCAGGACAGAGCAGCATCACCAGCACTCTTATCAGTACAGCCTCCATTTTTCTTTCGCAGGAGTGTGATGATCTTACTGTAACCAAGCCTGAATGCAAGCCCCTGTCTTCTCAATTTAGCCCACCTCTTCACTGCAAAATACAGAAGTTGGTAAATAAAATCCCTAACATATCCTAGTAGGGAGCAGAGTTTCTCCAGAAAGCATCTATTTATATAATCTCTGCAGCGCTTAGATACCATGGAAATCAGTAAAGAATAATATCTTGGCAAGTCTGTTGCATTGCAGTTTTATGTATCATTCACTGTTCTTTACCAAGCTTAAGCCTCTTTCAGCATTTCTGCCTCCAGGCTTGCCCCAGTGAGTAGCTATATTTTGGGATCACATTGTATTTTCCACAAATTTCACCATATTATTTCTAGCCATGTTTCCTTTCTCTGAGCCCACAGCTCCTCCCTTACCAGTACTCTCTAAGTGATGCTTATTCCTCCACCTGGCTCCTGCATAGAGATATTTCTGAATCTAGATTGCAGACTGTTTAACATTGCACATCTCAATACCACCCCACAATTCTCTTGTGCTCTCCACTGATAGCTTGCCACCGGCTATTCTTTATTAGCAGTTTTTAAAATTGCTAAGCCTTTGTCAGAGCCAAGGCAATTTGAATGATTTTTGAGGAACGCTTTTTAAATATTTTACTGATACCCAAATATATTCCACCTTATCTCATGCCCCCCAAATCTACTAAGCTTACAATTCTAGCTGGTAGATTAATTTAAAATTAACTTTGCTGGGGCATATGTACATTTGTTAGAGCGCTTATCCCATATTCTGAGGCAACTGCCTTTTAGGCAAGCCTGCATTGCTGGGACCAGAGTCTAAAAGGGTTTAGTTCACATCCAGCCCCTGCAGTGGTTTGCTCATTAAGAGAGATTTCATCTCTGTCTGCAAACTTCATGCTGCCTTCTGCTGGGTCAGGGGCTTGTTAGAGACTTCTGTCTTCTGCTCATTTTACGTGATCGATTGTAATTGCAAGCTCCAAACCCTGATCCTCCCCTTGCCATAGTCCTGCAGGGATATCTGATTTCTCCCTGGCCCTGTGATTGCTGTGGGGCTCACAGCAGCTCAAGTCAGGCAGATGGGCAGCATCCCAGGGACCTGCCTTGGGGGATAAAGACTAGGCTACAGCTTTACATGGATGGTTTACCAACATGTTTATCTGATGCCAGAGAGATCTTACCTCTTTTTCGTTAAGTATCGGGGGCAGTAGGAAAAAAGCTTTGGACTCTCTGTAAATATGTACAAAATATGAATTATTCATCATTGCTGAAGATAGTGCTGTTATTCAGGGAGCAGCCCAATTCAAAAAGCTCTCCAGGTGAAAGAAATACCAGAGTAGAGAGGAATAATGCGTGGCTTATGGCTATAAACAGCCACTGGTCCTAGCCCTGGGCTTGCTGGCCTACTGGCTGTGGGCACATGCATGTTGAATTGTCATCTGCACACCCTGTGAGGAGAGAGGGATGTGTTTGCCTTGCACATCCCAAGTGACACCATTGCGCTTGAATCCCAACCCTTGTAACTTAATCCCTGTGCCAGTATCCACATTTCCAGATTTTCCTGGAGCAGGTATCTTGACACCCAGCAAGCTCACGGTTCGTCAGGCATGCAGGTGTCCCAGTTAGGAAGTGCTAGAGACCCAAAGGACTGCAGAAGGGAAGGCATTTTGTTAGTAGACAAGAGTAGGTCACAAAATACTTGAATCCTGAACACAGAAAGGGCGAGCAATTAGCAGCAAAAGGAATCTGCCACCATGCAGACAGCGGTTTTGAGGTACTACAATCAGTTGTGGAAGATTACCACTTAAATACCCCAAGTCCTCTGTCTGTTCTTTCCCTACAGCAGTTTGGGGGCTTCTGTTTGGGTAAGCAACTTTGTGGGGAAAGACCAACTCTCCCAGGCAGCTGCTTCTGCGAGCGGTTAACAGGGTGGCCCCGGCCTCTGCACCCCAGCAGGCTTCGTGCCTGCCCCCGGGAACGAGCCCCCTTCGGCACTGCAGGGACCCGACCTTCCACACCTGCCAGATGCATCTCCTCGCAGCATTTACAGCGATCTGTTGTGGCTTCTCGAACAATAAAAATTTAAAAGAAACCTTTCATGCCGTAGGCAACTGCAAATGCTAGATCATTTGGGCTATTAACCTTCTTACTTGCAGATACTGCAAACATTTAAAGATCTGCCTGGCTAAGCACCCTTTCATTATTAGCTCATGTAGCTGGAAGTTAGTGGAGATATTTGAACAAAGTAAACAGAATGCAGTGAATGACTGCAAAGAATATCTAGGATGACTGCTGAAAACAAAGCAGATTAATTTTGTAACTTCTAATCAGAACCAACATTTTGATTAGAAATTTATGTACGCATTAATTGAATGTATTATTCCTCAAAGGGAAGCAAATTGCTCTATTCATGCTGACTTTTTTTTTTTTTTTTTTTTTTTTTAAAAAAAACAGTGAATCAATTTCCACAACTCTGCCTACAAGGAACATTTGAAGATTTGCAATGTTGCCTCCTAAGTCAATGGCAAAATTTGAATCACCTGTACAGAAAAAGACCACAGCTCAAAGAGTTAATGCTTGTAGCACAGTCAAGTGATGACAGGAAAGACCTGAGAGGTTTTAAATACTATGAAGAGCAAGCAGACAATTAGCAGAATGGACCAGGATAGAATTAACATTCAGGGGTAAAGATATGAAAGGAAAATGTGGAGTATCAGGAAGGACTTTGTGGCAGCAAGATATGCAAAATTATCTCCCAAGAGTAAAGTGACAGAAGCTCCACTGCTTGGTACATTTAAAATTAAGTTGCACCAAGCGATAGTGAGTGAATGCAAGATAACAGTTCTGCTTCAGCAGGAAGATGGGCTCAAGCTATTTTCATCTTCAACTCCTTGGAGCTGGCTGTTAGCATGATTGTTTCTAAGCAGGAAACTAAAAGTGTTCGCACGATAGCAGGTAACAGAAAGCTACGCCTGTACCTACTACTAGCTCTAGCAGTTTTGAAACATTTTGCCAGACAAATCTATGAAGAATAGGCAAAACCATGAGGGCTGAAACTGCTTTTCAACTGCTAAATCAAGACAAATCCAAAACCAAACAAAATTCTAAAATAAATAGTATGAGAGAAAAATTTAGAAGTAGATGGAAAAGAAAAAATAGGATATATACACACACAGAGTGATATAATTAGTTTACTACATAATAGACAGTAATTATAGCATCCTAA